TGTAATATACTCTATTTATTATTAATATTATTATTATTATTATTATTATTATTATTATTATTATTATTATTATAACATACATCGGAGGCTTCATCGAAGAAAACAGTACCGATCAGAGGATACTGTTTTCGGCAACTAAGGGACTGCTTGGAAGAGTGAACGAGATTAAGTATCCTCAATTCAAGGATAAGGTTGTCCTTGCCAATAAATTTGGCGACTTCTTTGTTTAAAAGATCAACACCATTCAGACCAAGCTTGACAACATGGTTTCGACCTCTCCCCCTTACATTGCAAGCGAGAATATTCCTGAAGTACCCTCTTTTGACAAGTTTAATCTACTGAGCCAAGACGATGTCAGGAAACTCATTGAGGCCACGCCCAAAACGTCTTGCTTGCTCGACCCTGTACCAACAACACTCGTAATCGGTTGTGTCGATGTTCTGTTGCCAGTAATTAAAAAGATCATTAATATATCGCTACAGACTGGAGAATTTGCTGATCAATGGAAATGTGCGTTGGTTCATCCKTTACTCAAGAAGCCCGAGCTTGATAACCTTTCCACAAGCTGGAATCACAAGGCCAGAAAAATCATGTATCCCTTTTTACTTGGAGCATCCATTTACTTGTATGGTGGGAGGAACTACAGGATGTGGAAAAACCTTTTGTTTTGGGTACAGCAGTTGTTGGAGCATGCGCAAGTGATGATCAACCCTCCACCTCAGCGTACCGGCTTATCTAGAAATGTTAAGAACCGTGCCTGGCATTGAATTTATCAGAGGTATTCCGCAGCTGGAACTGGATCAAGATCACCTTTTTGATGTAAATGTACGAAATCTTATAGTGATCGATGACCAGATGACCGAAACTGGGAATGATAAGCGAGTTTTAAACTTGTTCACTAAAGGATCGCATCATCGCAACCTGAGTGTCATCTACATGGTACAGAATATCTTTCATCAAGGAAAAGTTAATCGAGGCATTAGTTTGAATTGTCATTATTTGGTCATATTCAAGAATTCAAGAGACAAACTTCAAATTCTCAATCTAGCCAAGCAAATGTATCCTGGAAAAACTGAATATTTTCTGGAAAAATATGAACAAGCCGTGAGTAGACCTTACGGATATCTCTTCATTGACTTGAAGACAACCACCCCAGACGACTGCAGACTGAGAACCAATATCTTCCCTGGAGAGAAGAAAGAGCAAGAGAAAAATGTACCTGAGGAATTGCTTCATTACCTTGGTAGGCAAAATCTTGTACTACCCCCAGAGATTTCGAGAATGCAAAGCTTGAAAGATCAAATGAATACACTTCTCAAGGATCCTTATGAAGATAAAAGTCAAAAAGTAAGGCAATACGTTCAACTCCAGAACAATTATCTGTGTTACAAGGACAAAATGAATCCAGGTGCAGTGGGATTAGGTAATTCAACACCCCTTAGTAGCTTCGCTGCGGAAATTCAGTCACCATCAGAACAATTATCTATCGAGCCCGCAAGGAGTTCACCGCTGCCTGCTGAACCTTCTAACTTTCTTCCTCCACCCGCATTATCACCTACCACTGCCTCTCCTGTGTTACTCTCCACTGAACCACAAATGCCATAGACTCCCATATCATCTCTCATGGCATCTTCTCCTTTGATACAACCACCTTCGTCGCTATTGCCCCACCTGATTCCCTCTCAAAAAGTCGAAAACGACCACGTATTGAATTATTAAACTACCTAGAAGGTGACCCCAACAAAAAGCCTGGAAGAAGTGTGCGTCGGTCAATACGGGTAAAAAACCGCATCCCTTATAAGTACGAGCACCATTGACATTGCTTTAGGTTAAGAAGAAAAATAGAAGAAGATGAAGTAGAATGAGTTGATTGTATTTGTTGTTTGTTATCATATATTGAGGAATGAACTAAAACTCAATGATTTGTATTGGTCTGTATTGTTTATTTGAATGCCGTTTGGCAACAAGTATTTTACTCTTTGTCAGTACATTGCTTGTTGAGAAATGCAGCTTTTCGAGCCAAACTTTTTATTTAAGTAGCGATGAAGAATAAGCATTGTATATTAATATTAGTTTATAAATAAAGGTGCTTTACTCTCAAACGTTTTTCTTCGTATTTGAATAATTAGGTAGAACTTCGTAAGTCTTATTGTTTGTGGTTTATGAGTCATTAATTGTATT